ATCCTCTGTTGACTAAAAAAAAGATTTACCCCAACATATATATGTATATATATTTACATATGTGTGTGTATTTATATACATGTGTATATATATACATATACATACATTTTTATATATATTTGCTGAATTGACAGACAGGAGAGATGTTGTTCCACTTATTGATGAAATAATTTGTTGCTTCTAGAAAGTGTTCTGACCAGGGATCAAACCAACAACCGTTATACATCAAAATGAAACTATAACCAACTGAGCCACATCTGTACATTTTTTATTGCAAGTTTTTCTTTCATAGAAGGAAATTTAGAGAAAAATACCACAAATACACACCCACTAAAACATCACAAGGACAGTCAGGGTATTCACCACTCCCTCACCACACATGTCCTCTTCCCTTCCTCCTCCAGTACCTGGGGCATGTAGTGCCCCCTGCCTACTTCTCAAGGTCCTTCATCCAGCACTTCTTGCCAGAGGCCTCTGTCACAATTCACTGAATATGTTGAAGCTGGCACACCCCAAGTGCCCACAGGTGTCTCCTGAGATCCCTCAGGGTAGGACAGCTCACTCCTGAGCTGAGGGCTGAGCTGAGCCATCCAGTCCTCTGCAGTTCAAAAATACCAACGACAGAACAGTACTCTCCCAACTGAGGGTGGACACAACCCCAGGAGACGGGGAGAGGGGCCTGGGGCTTCATGGAGTTTGGGGGAGCAAGGGTTATCCCTGCCCAGAAACATAGCACTAAGGAAGTAGCCAGAGGGTGGCATGACTCACTAGGGCTTTCTTGGCCTGCAGCTGCATGGCCATCCTTCCAGTGCATGTTGTGACCTGGGCACAGGCAGCTGTGAGCAGGGAGAGAAAGAAAAAGGTACAGTGAGAGATTAGGTACATGTGTGACCCACAGTGCAGGCATGACAGACACACACACTACAAGACAGGCAGATAAGGACAGCCACACACATTAATAGTGAATGCATGCAGGTGGCCTATGGCATCCAAGGCCCTCTACTAACATCCCCGATATAATCATCCTGATATCCTGCATTGTTGAGGTTATTTTCAATGACCCCATTTCACAGATGAGAAAACTGAAGCCCCCAAAAGATAAGCCATATGACCAAGAAGATAAGGGTGGGATTAGGGTTGGGCTGAGTAGGTCAGGGTCCATGTGCACACACATACACTTCCCCAAGGAACACACTTCTGCACACACCAAATCCAATAGCCTGTCAAGAGGAAAGAGACCCTTTACCCCTAACCCTGGGTCTGACTTCGCCAGCATGCACAGTGAGCACAGGGAAGCTTTACCACTGGGAGCACTTGAAATATCATCATTTCTTTTGGTAAGTTAAGAGAAAATGCAAATTTATTCCAGCCTGCACTATTTTTGTGCTCACGGCAATGTAAACACTACTCCAAGTTTCCTTTATTTAAAAGGAGGCCAGGAAGGCACAGTGGCCCTGGAAATAGCATGTGCACAGTGTTGGTGACCACTGAACCCAGAGTGGCCATAGATAGGTGGCTGCAGAGCCAGGGGTGGCAGCTGCTCCTGCTCCTTCTTTTCTGTCCTAGTTTTCTGACATTTCCTGCCATACATTGTTCTAAGAGGAAATAAGAATTTCCCAGTGTGGGGTGTTTAGGGTGGTGGCTCTGGTACCTGGATGCCTGGGTGTGGAGTTGGGTGATTAATTTAAAAGGCTCTGAATCTCAGTTTCCCCATCTGAAAAATGGGAATGTGAGGGTCCCTACTTAAGAATCACTGGGAGGCCTGTATGATGCCCAGAATGATACCCCAAGCACCCAACACACACTCCCTGAACAAATCCCACCCCCCCCACATCAGCATTGGGTAGGGTCTCTGAGCCTCTTTCTTGACCTCACACCTGACTTCCACACACATCCTGCCCTCCCAGGGCCAGGGGAAGCTCTAAGGAAGGAAATGGCTCTGGCTCCAGCAGGGAGACAGATTTGCCAGGCCCTCCCATCCAGCTGGGTCGTCTTCTGCACCCTCTAGGTAGGGCATCCTAGACGCGCGCGCGCACACACACACACACACACACACACACACACATCAGCCAGGCCCAGAGGCAGAGGCCCAGACGCACAAAGACAGGGAAAGGCTCGGACAGAACTGACACACCCCCACACGCACACACATTCACATCAGAAACACAGGAAGAGACCAGACACATATGGCCACCTGGATGGCGCCCTTACAGAGAGATACCGCCGACGGAAACAAAGGCTGACACACACAGATGTGAACACTGACGGCACTGCAGAGGCCAAGACAGGCAGCCGACGCACACACGAGCAAAGGAGAAAAATTGTAGCCTCCCGAACACACGCGGTGTTACACAACGAGACACAGAGACCTCCCGGGAGTCTCACTTCAACACAGACACACACACAGCCACAGGCATCACCTTCAACCCCACGACCCCACCCTGATCCCCACCCAGTGTCCTCACGCCTTAGCCTGATCCTCACAAAGACCACACAGCTGGCTCAAGAACCTGTGCATCGTCTCTTAGAACCTACCGATATCACTGAGCCTGCACAGAACGTCCTACTACATTTCCCAGAACCCCGCGCGCCAAAGTCTCACCCACACCTGGCTTCCCTCAGAGTGAGACCTGCAGTGCGGACTTGAGCCTGAGGCTCCTTGTCCCAGAAGCCCCTGCGGCACAATGGCAAGAAGGCGGGGTTCGCGAGAGATCCGTGGTGTCTGAGACAAACCATGGAGGATCGGGGAGCAGAAGAAAAAGCATGGGGCAGGACGGGGCCAAGGAGGAGCGGGATGTGGAGAGGGTGTGCGGGAGGAAAGCTAGACAGGGGTGCGTGGCGGTATGCCGGAGGAACTGGGAGCTCATCGTGCTGGAGAGCAGGGAGAGAGAAATTGAGGAATGTAGGGGTGTCGGTGCAGGCAGTAAAGGACGCTGTAGCCCCTCTACAGACCTCCTGCATCCAGAGACGGGTACCGATAGTCGTGGTACCGATAGTCGTGTTGACTTACAGAAAATTTGTACCCCTGGCTGGTGTGGCTCAGTGCATAGACTGCTGGCCTGCGAACTGAAGGATCACTGGTTTGATTCCCAGTCACGGCACATCCCCAGGTGGCCGGCTAGGCAACCACACTGGTGTTTCTCTCCCCCTCTTCTTCCCTTCCCCTTTCTAAACCAGTTTCAGGTGTAGGAACGCCCGATAAACTTATCCCACTCATTAAAAGATTCATTGTTTTATTCTTGTAGGCACCTGACCAGTGATTAAACTGCAACCATGGCGTACACAAGCAATGCTTCACTACCTGAACCACCAGCAGGGGCTCAGGTTCAGGTCAGGTGGGTAAGCACATTGTGCTGTCTGTCCCACTGGGGCATTTCAGTAATTAGCAACTATACAAAAGTGGGAGAGAGTCTAAGTATTGATCACCACCAGCTTGTACCCTTTTGGTGACAACCAGGTGGGTGCTAGGCCACAGGGCCCAGTCAGCAGCCATTTACCCACGTTCACAGAATCATCTCAAATAACAACTTATACAAAATAGTTAATAGCTACCCATGTATTAATAAATGCTTTACATATTTTATTGTTCACAGAGTACCATTCTTATATTGTTTGCTATTTATTATTGGTAATAGTCGCTATCAACATCAATGATGAGATATTAAGTACACCATGACCTAGGCTGTGGGTGAGGCACACACAAGGTAATGCCCCTGCCTGACTGAAGGCACTTTATTTTCACAGGAATTCTGGTTGCGCAGGGGGGGTCAGGACACTCTTATCATGTGAGAGAGGATTTTTCTCCTGTAACAAATAGCCCTGCAGGGAGGGGACTAAAAGGGTGTGTTTCAGCAGAACAGCCACTTTCCCCATCTCTGCTACTGAAGGTCTGGGCCCTGCTACCTGGTCTGACCATTCCCAAGCCAAGAATGCCAGGCTGGGAGGGGCAGATGGCTTCATACCTTGGGCAGGCTTGCTGGGTTCCTGGGGTTCCTGGTGGGTATTTGGATCCCCTCCCCCTAAGCGTTCACACTTATTTTGGCAGGACAACTTCTACATGTACCTATTGCACCTTATGACTTTAAAATGACTTTGGTCTCCTTTAATGTAAACTTCTATTTAAAAAAAATTAACAGACCCTTAAGAGAAACTATGCCTTCTGATGCAATTATTATTAATTCAGATGCCAAGAAAAATGTTTCTTCCCCTCATACAAAACTTGGCACCTTCTACTGTTGCAGGGAAACTGGGGGCTGGGTGTGGGGTAAATGAGGACAGGCACAGATGTGACAACCTGACCTCTAGACAAGATCCAGGCATTTGTCACAAAGTAACAATGCCCCCATGGACCCACCTCCACGCCTTCCTTTCTCTTTCCTCACCTCTGTTTTACTCTACAGGAGATGAAGACCAGAGACACAGTGCCACTGGCCACCCTCCCAGATACTGTACCTGTAGGGAGGCTTGCTTTGCACCAGGTCCTGCAGCTGCTGGGGAAGCAAATGTTGAGAATTCCGTGGCCTGTCCTCACCACCCATATTCCTAAGACAAGTCTGGTCAGGATTTCTCTTGCATCCCACCCGTGGGCTCCAATATCAAGTCTGGTGCTGGCCCATGGGCTCAGGACCTACCAGTCAGGTATGGATTCTAAGATCCCCCAATTCCCTGCTATGTGTCACGTGAGGTAGAAATTCCTGCTGAACATTTTCCTGCACTTGCCACACTGGTTTGGCTAGTCTCCCAAACAATCCTCCTGTGGATGGGGGGCAGTTCCTGATGAAGGCTTTCCTGCACTGGCTGCACTTAAAAACTTCTCCACAGGGGGACTGGTCAGCATATTCTGCAGGGGTGAGTGTGTATTGAAGTCCTTCTCTCAGATGGAGCACTGGCAGTGCTACTACCTGGGGCTGGTGCCTGTGCTGCCTGAAAAGAGTTCTTGTGAACTGTCTTGTTGCACTCCCCTCACGTGCATGTCTTCTCCTTGCTATGCGTCCTTTGATGCACAATCAGGTTTGATTTTTGGCTGAAGGCCTTGCCGCAGACACCGCACGTGTACGGCTTCTCCCCACTGTGCGTCCTCTGATGCACATAGAGGCTCCATTTCTGGCTGAAGGCTTTGCTGCAGTCCCCACAGGAGTATGGCTTCTGCCCAGTGTGTGTCATCTCATGCAGGATGAGGTACCTTCTCCGACTGAAGGCCTTGTCGCAGTCACTGCACGTGTAAGGCTTCTCCCCAGTGTGCATCCTCTGATGCACCATGAGGCTGCCATTTGCAGTGAAGGCCTTGCCACAGTCTCCGCACACATATGGCTTCTTCCCAGTATGCGTCCCCTCATGCAGAACGAGGTACCCTTTCCTGCTGAAGCCCTTGCCACAATCCCCACACACGTGTGGCTTCTCTCTGATGTGTGTCCTTTGATGGGCATACTGAGTCGATTTCCTGCTGAAGACTTTGCCGCAGTCCCCGCACACATATGGCTTCTCTCCAGTGTGTAACCTCTGATGCTCAATGAGGTGCCTATTCTCTCTGAAGGCCTTACCGCAGACCCTGCACGCATAAGGTTTCTCCCCAGTGTGTGTCCTTTGATGCACACATAGGATTGATTTTTGTGTGAAGGCCTTACCACAATCCCCACATGAGTATGGTTTCTCCCCGGTGTGCATCCGCTGATGCAAATTGAGGCTTGATTTCTTACTGAATGCCTTCCCACAGTCCACACACACATATGGCTTCTCCCCAGTGTGTGTCCTCTCATGCTGGACAAGGTACTTTCTCTTCCTGAAGGCCTTGCCACAATCCCCACACATGTACTGCATCTCCCCGGAGTGCATGCTCAGATGCTTGATGAAGTGACTATTCCATCTGAATGCCTTGCCGCACTCCCTGCACACATATGGCTTCTCCCTGGTGTGCGTCCTCTGGTGTAGGATGAGGTTATCCTCCTGGCTAAAGGACTTGCTGCACACCCCACACATATATGGCTTCTCCCCAGTGTGGATTTGTTGGTGTTTCCCCAGGGATGAACTATAGCTGAAACCCTTGTCACAGTGTCCCCACTTGTATGTCATCTCTGCACAAAGTTGGGAGGGAGGACTGAGGCTGGAAGTACCTGAGTTCTTCCCACACGTGGTGAAACAGTGTGCCCCTGCTCCTCTTGGTGAGGCTGGCATGGGGCTCCGGTGGATGAATGCATTAAATACACAACACTCAGGAGCTAACACTGGGGACATGTCCAAATGCCTTTGACAGGTCCCCGTGCTCCTGTGTTGTTGCCCCACCCTGTACCCCTGTATCCCTGCTTTTTCACAGGCATAACCCTGAGCTCCATTCCTCATAAGTCCTTCCGCCACCACAATGGATGTTCTGTCTTCCCAAGAGTCCTTCTCTGGATCTGGTTCATTCATGTCCCCTTCAGTCTCCAAGTCTGAGGGGAGGGGAAAGAGATGACAACACACATGTAGTTAACAACACTGGGAGGGAGGATGTCCCCAAGATACCACAACATGCAGCTTCAGAGTAGGGGACAGCCTGTCATGGGCACAGAGGGAGAAGAAAAGCTGTGATCTGAGACAGTGAGTTGTCGGGAGGTGAGCAGAGAGAGAGAAAGGCCTGATTGGGAGTGGGTGCAAAGGCAGCCAGCACAGATGAGTGCTGGGAGGAAACCCTGAAGAGACGGAAGAAAACAGGCCTGGAGGAGCACATCAAATAATCCCACACCCCCATGGAGGGTTCACTGCACCTGGCTCCTTTCTTCCAGGCTTTGTCCTGCATGTCCACAAAGAGCTGTACTTCTCAAAATATTGCCTATTATTACTAAAGATAAAGTAAGCTGATTCCCTGTGCCCTTAGTGCTTGTGCTCTGCCTCCCCACGTGCCACTGAAGCTCCCAAAATCCTACACTGCCCAGGAGTGGCCTTGCCCTTGGGCTGGCTCCTCACACCTCCCCTCAGCACACTAATTCCTCCCTGGTGACCAAGCGCTTCAAGCATGTTGTGCCTTGTCCCATGGGATCCTCTATTTCTGTTTAAAGCCTAGGGGGCTGCCCTAAGTCCAGACTCTGCATATGCCCTTTAAAGTTCATCCAAACACTTAGAAACTGTGAGATCTTACACAAAAATCACATTAAAAAGGGGAAGATGCTGCTATATGTAGCCCTCCTTCTATGGTGGCAACAAGGAACGCAGGAGTGGTAAGCAGCTGCCTCCCTACCCCGTGAAGACATCACTGGGCCCATAAATGCGGAGGTTGATACTCATCCCTTGAGTCTACAACTGGAACCAATTCTGATGTTCATCTTCAATTGAAAGGATAAACACATGGTGAGGTATTCCGGAAGTAGAATATTACTCAGCAATAAAAAGAAGTCAGCTATTGCATTGGATGCCAAGCTCAATGGTTAGAGCACTGGAGTGCACAAAGACTGCAGGTTGGATCCATGTTCAGGGCTTATATGGGATGCAACTGATTGATATTTCTAACACATTCTCATCTTTCTCTCAAAACAATAAAAAGGAAAAAAGGGAACCATTCAAATATATGGTAGGCCTGAGTGAACCTCAACAAAATGATGAGAAGAATAAGAAATTAAGATAAGAAAATTAATGTATATGCCATATGATTCCATATATAAAATTTTACAATAGGCCCCGCCTAGTGTAGTTCAGTGGATTTAGTGCGGGCCTGCGAACCAAAGGGTTGCTGGTTCCATTCCCAGTCAGGGCACATGCCTGGGTTGTGGGCTGGGTCCCCAGTAGGAGACGGCCAAGAAGCAACCATACATTCACGTTTCACGCCCTCTCTTCCCCTTTCTCTAAATTAAATAAAAAGAAGGAAAAAAATTCTATTAAAAGCAAACTAAAATCAACGGTTGCTGGAGGTTGGAGGGTGGGCAAAATGAAAGAAAAATTTTATGGGCTAATGGACGTATCTACATCATGACAATGATTTCTCAGGTGGATACAAATGTCAAAATGGGTCAAATCATAAGCTTTAACTATATGCAGTTAATTGTAGGTCAGGTAAACCACCAGAAAAGCTGGTAAAGAAATGAGAATATACACTAATTGTGAACGTGTTTTTACTGAACCATAGTATTAGGGTCATCTCTGTGTGTCCGTGAGTACTAAGAGTACTCATCTTTGAAGACCTTTCTCATTCCCAACATTATTGTGTACCTTCATTGGTTCAACAGTCTTGTAGGTGGGCATCTAGGGCATTTTTCTGGAATTTTCTTCCTATAAAATCTCAGCACACTTCCAGGAGATTTTTTAAGGATATGTTCCACCAATGGAATCATTTGAATTTGGTTCAGAACAAACTGTCTTCCCAAAGAGCTTTCCCAACATCATGCATCTAAAATAAGGAGTCCCTTTCTCTGTACCCTCATAATACAGGAAGATTTTACTTCTTTTTTTATACCACAGCTGAGGACAGTCTTACATAGGGAGGAAGGGGGTGAGGAGGGACAGGGGAAAGAGTGAAAGAGAGAAACATTACAGCGAGAAATGTCAATTGGTTTGCCTCCTGGATATGTGCCATCGGGCATAAAATTCATAACCCAGGTATGTATCCTGACACAGAATTGAACCAGCATCCTTCTGGGTCAGAAAATGCTCCAAACAACTGAGCCACACTTGGGCAGAGTCACTATTCTTTTCATACCAGTGTATCTCATAGGTAAAAATGGTATTTCTGTAAGTCAATTGGTACTCCTTTGACGATTAGTATGGTTCAAAAATCTTTGTAAAGTGTAACTCCATGCACTTGTATATCTAAGAACTGAATGCTGATAAGCCAGGTCCATCTCTCTATCATTCATTTGGTGCTTTTCTCATTTACGCATAGCAGTTCTTTATATACTTATAATCCTCTGGCTGTTATATATGTGCTATATACTCTTTCCCACTTTGCCATCTATCAACTTTATTTTTATCTTTCAGTAATCTGAACATCCTATGTGTCAGATCTGTGCACCTTTTCTATTTCTATGTCATCCTGAAGTGACAGGCACATGGTGGGTAATGTGGTGAAGCAGCCCCTTACCCAGTGAGACCAAGTTCCAGTAGATTTCCATCATCACATCCCTGTACAGGTCCTTCTGTGCAGGCTTCAGCTGCTGCCACTCCTCCTGGCTGAAGTCCACAATCACATCCCTGAACGCCACTGACCCCTGTAAGAGGAAGCGCACACCACTCATCACACTCAGGAGACGCAGCCAGGTGGGCTGGGAGGATCAAGAAGGCACAGAGGATGCTCCTGATGTGGGGTCGAGAAGGTGTGGAGCTCTGAAGGCCCTAAGGACTCAGTGTCCTTGGTGCTTAAGTACACTGGCTGTTCCATAGACAGAAAAATAAACTACAGCATGGTTTATAGGAAAGCAAACAACACAGTTAAAAAATGGACAAAAAACGTGAACACACATATCACCAAATAGTATACACAGATGGCCAATATATATATATGAAAAAATGCTCAACGTCACTCATCATCAGAGAGCTGCAACCTAAAACCACAATGACAATGACCTCACACAGGTGAAAAGGAAATCCCCTCTGTGGAACCTCAACTGTCAATACGAATGTAACAGACCTGAGCCATAGCAGCTCTCAGGGGTGTCTTGGAAATCGGAAGGGGTGATCTCAGGTTAGGTTCATGGAGGAAGAATCTGGGTGGAACCGGTGGTCAAGGCCAGAGGCTTAAACAACACACTGGAGCACTAAGGAGGCCAACACTACAAAGTTACTGGTGAAAATGAAAAAGGTGTCTTTTATTTTACCGAAAAAACATAACAGACTCTTTGGCCAACTCAGTAAGTACAATCATTGAAATTACCGTCAGGGTCACAAACTCATCAACTACCCACAGTTTCCTCCTGTTCCCCTCTATTATTGTACTTGTTTCATTTTAATTTTTTAAATACAATTCCTGGTGAAAGTCTTCCCTAAGTTTCCCTGCCTGAATGGACTCACTCAATGAATTTTTTACTGAGCAGCCTCCAGGCTCTGAGCCCAGATGGGAGAGACTGAAAGCCTGAGTCTGTCCTGGGCATCTGGGTGCCCACACTCCACAAAAGTGTGGGAAGTGAGCCCTGGATGGTGTGGCTCATTGGATTGAGTGCCAGACTGTGAAACAAAGAGTCACTGGTTTGATTCCCAGTCAGAGCTAATGCCTGGGTTGTGAGCCAGATCCCCAGTTGGGGGTGTATAAGAGGCAACCACAAATTGACATTTTTCTCCCTCTCTTTCTCCCTCCCTTCCCCTCTCTCTAAAACAAATAAATAAAATATTAAAAAAAAAAAGTGTGGGAGGTGAGACACAGGGCCTCTCTTCCAAAGAGTTGGGAGATTCCCCTGAAATAGGAATTGAACTAAAGCCCTCTGAGTGCGCTCTGGGTACATGACTGAGGCCGCTCATTCCAGGGCTCCATCTGTTTTGGAATCCTGTGTAATGGCAGAAACCACTTTGCCACAAGAAAACCTCACCCAGTTCCAAGGAGCTGAAATCAGGCTCTATTTTGTTTTCAATCCTCAGTTAAGGATATATATATTGATTTTATTTATTTTTCTTTTTTAAAGTGTACTTTATTGATTATGCTATTACAGTTTTCCCATCTTCCTGCCTTTATTCCCCTCCACCCTGCAAACCCCCTCCCACCTGCATTCCCTCATTTTAGTTCATGTCCATGGGTCGTACATACAAGTTCTTTGGCTTCCACATTTCCTATACTATTCTTAACCTCTCCCTGTGTATTTTCTACCTACCATCTATGATACTTATTCTCTGTCCCTTTTCCCCCCTCCCTCTCTTACTTCCCCACTGATAACCCTCCATGTGATTTTCATTTCAGTGATTCTGTTCCTGTTCTAGTTGTTGCTTAGTTAGTATTTTTTTTATGTTTGGTTGTTAATAGTTGTGAGTTTGTTGTCATTTTACTGTTCATATTTTGATCTGCTTTCTCTTAGATAAGTCCCTTTAACATTTCATATAAAATAAGGGCTGGGTGGTGATGAACTCCTTCAACTTGACCTTATCTGGGAAGCACTTTATCTACCCTTCTATTATAAATGACAGTTTTGCTGGATAGAGTAATCTTGGATGTAGGTCCTTGCCTTTCATGACTTCAAATACTTGTCTCCAGCTCCTTCTTGCCTGCAAGGTTTCTTTTGAGAAGTCAGCTGATTGTCTTATGGTAACTCCTTTGTAGGTTACTGTCTCCTGTTCTCTTGCTGCTTTTAGGATTCCTTATCTTTAATCTAGGCTAATGTAATTATGATGTGTCTTGGTGTGTTCCTCCGTGGGTCCAAATTCTTTGGGACTCTCTGAGCTTCCTGGACTTCCTAGAAGTATACTTCATTCTCCAGATTGGAGAAGTTCTCCTACATTATTTTTTCAAGTAAGTTTTCAATTTATTGGTCTTCCTCTTCTCCTTCTGGCACCCCTCTGATTCGGATGTTGGAATGTTTAAAGATGTCCTAGAGGTTCCTAAGCCTCTCCTCATTTTTTTGAATTCTTGTTTCTTCATTCTGTTCTGGTTGAATGTTTCTTTCTTCCTTCTGCTCCAAATCGTTGATTTGAGTCCTGGCTTCCTTCCTATCATTGTTGGTTTCCTGTAGATTTTTCTTTATTTCACATAATGGAATCTTCATTGCTGCCTGGGTCTTTTTTGTACTGTTGAAGTACCCAGTGAGTCCCTGGAGCATCCCAATAACCAGTGTTTTGAATTGTGCATCTCATAGGTTGGCTATCTCTTCATCACTTAGTTGTATTTTTTTCTGGAGCTTTGAACTGTTCTTTCATTTCAGCCTTTTGTTTGTTTGTTTGTTTGTTTGTTTGGTCTCAGTGACCCTGTTAGGTAGTAAGGAGCAGAAACTTAGGTGTTCACCAGGGCAGGGCAACCCACATTGCTGGCTTGTGATGCTGTATGTGGGGCAGAGGTCTGAGAGGGAATAGTGCCACTTGCTCCACTCTGTGCCACTTTCTACTCACTTCTCTGGCTACCCACAAAGTGGACCCTTCTGGGGCTGCCTCCCAAGTGGGTGGTTTGTGTAGATTCTAGGACCCTTTGGGTCTCTCCAACAAGCTCTCCTGCAAGGCTGGGTTTCTCCTACTGCCACCTCAACCCCCACAGGTGTTTTCAATCAGAGGTTTGAGGCTTTATTTCCCTGTGCTGGAACCCTGGGTTGTGTGGTCTATATCACTCCCTAGTTGTTCCTCCTGGTTTATCTGCACATGAATGTGGGACTGCCCAGTCTACAAGCCACCACCTCACCCAGTTCACCAGCTGCCTCCTTGCCCACCCGAGTCTTCTACCTGCTGCCTTCCCAGCAGTCCTCTTCACCCGGCTGCCCATCTCCACCTCCCGCCTCCACCAGTCTGGATGAATGTTTCTTCTTTAACTCCTTGGTTGTTGTACCTCCATACAGTTCAATTTTCTGTAAGTTCTAGTTGTTTTTTATAGTTAAATTTGTCGTTGTCCTTCTTTTGGTTATGCAAGGATGCACAGTGTGTCTATCTACAACTCCATCTTGGCCAGAGGTCTACATATTGATTTTAGAAGGAGTGGAAGGTAGGGTCAGAGAGAGAGACAGAGACGTTGATATGTTCACATCATGCATGTGCCCTGACAGGGGATCGAATAATCCACAATGTTTTGGTATTTGGGATGATGCCATAACCAATTGGGACACCCAGCCAGGGAAGGCACTACTTTTTAGAAACATGAGAATGCAATTACTGTAACAGGCATTAAGAAAGAGAACTTGAGCCCTGCCTGCTGTTGCTCAGTGGATTGAACATAGGCTGCAACCCAAAGGATTACCGGTTCGATTCCCAGTCAAGGCACATGCCTGCGTTGTGGAACAAGGTCCCCAGTGGGTGCCTCGTCAGCTGCAACCACACATTGATGTTTCTCTCCCTTTATTTCTCCCTCCCTTCCCCTCTGTCTAAAAATAAGTAAAATCTTAAAAAAAAAAAAAAGAAACAGAAATTGAATCCCTAGGAGCCCACAACAGGGAAATAAGAACCATCCACAAATTCTAAACAAAGTTGGTAAAAGGAAACCAAGGCAAGGATTACAGGGAAGGTCAAAGTGGAGATATCATGGTGCAGCCACCCTGGAAAACAGGAAGATTGTTCCTTAAATGGTTAAATATACTGATATCAAAGGACCCATTATTTCCTCTCCTACACTCAAAGAAAATGAAATCAAACAAAAACTATGCATGAATGTTCACAGAAACATAAGAAATAACACCCAGTAAGGGGAACCAACCCAAATGTTACCCTTGATAAGTGCATACAACAGGGTCTACCTCCACAAGGGCATAGTATGCAGCCATTGAAGAGCACACCTACTACAACACAGATGTACATCAAATACCTGCTGTTCAGTGAGAGCAGCAAGATACAAAAACCCACATGTTGTGTGATTCCACTTATAGAAATGTGCAGCCCTGACTGGGCAACTCAGCTGGTTGCAGCGTTGTATGTACAACCAAAGGTTAGGGCTGTGGTCCTAGTTGGGGCACATATGGGAGGCAACTGATCAATGATTTATTCAGGTCGATGTTTCTTTCCTACTGTATCCTCCATTCCCTTCTCTCTAAAAATAAACAAAATCTCAATAAAATAAAAACAATTTTCCCACCATAAATGGCAAAACAAATTCCTAGAAATCAAGCCTTTACAGTCCCAGCTGGTGTGGCTCAGTGCATTGAGCACCTGCTTGCAAACCAAAAGGTTGCCGGCTCATTTTCCAGTCAGGGCATGTGCCTCAGCTGTGGGCCAGATCCCCATTTGGGGATGTGCAAGAGACAAGAACACATTGACATTTCTCTACCTCCCTTTCTCTAAAAATAAGATAAATGAATGTTTAAAAAAAACACCACAATCAGGCCCTGGCTGGCATAGCTCAGTGGATTGAGTGCGGGCTGCGAACCAAAGTGTCACAGGTTCGATTCCCAGCCAGGGTACATGCCTGGGTTGCAGGGCATAACCCCCAGCAACCGCACATTGATGTTTCTCTCTCTCTCTCTCTCTCTCTATCTCGCTCCCTTCCCTCTCTAAAAATAAATAAATAAAATCTTTTTTTAAAAAGTAAAAAATAAAATAAATAAAATAAAAAACACCAAAATCATAAAAAGCTGTGACTTTTGTCATTCGGTGGATTGAGAAGCAGCTTAAAACTGAAAGGTGTCCTGTTTATTCCTACTCAGTGCACAGGAGTGCGCAGTGGGCAGATACCAATCTGGGCTGCTGCTATTGAAGACCCATGAATATTTATCTTGCACATGGATGTTTCTCTCCCTATATTTCTCCCTCCCTTCTCCTCTCTCTGAAAAATAATTAAAATCTTAGCACAGTTTCTCCACTTTTATAATTTATAAAATGAAAAAGTGAAACATGCAAAATGCAGGACAAGTATTGATGGCCAGCCCTGGCTAAGTGGCTCAGTTGGTTGGAACTCTGTGCTAGACAGCAAATAGTTGAGGGATCTATACCAGCTTGGAGCGCATGTACAAGGCAACTGATTGAAATTTCTCTCTCACATCTGTGTCTCTCTCCACCCCCACTCTTCCTGTCTCCCTAAAACTCAATGAACACTCCTCTATTAATAAAAAAAAAAGATTTACCTTCTTCCCACATATATAAATTTTCTGATTTGACACACAGAAGGAATTCATTGGGTGCTCCTAGAAAGTGTCCTGACTAGGGATCAACCCACAACCTTGGCATATGAACATGAACCTCTAACCAACTGAACCAAATCTGTATATATTTTTCTGTGTGTGTTTTTTAAGATTTATTTATTTATTTTTAGAGAAAGAGGACAGAAGGGAGAAAGACAGGTGGAGAAGTATCAGTGTGTAGTTGCCTATCACATGACCCTACTGGGGATGTGGCCCCCAACTGAGGCATGTACCCTGACTGGGAAGCGAACTGGTGGCCCTTTTGTCCCCAGTCTGCACTCAATCCACTGAGCTACATCAGCCAGCGTTACATCTATACATTTTTTATTTTCAAATTTTTCTTCCACAGAAGGAAATTTAGAGAAAAATACCAGAAATAGACACTCACTAAAACATCACAAGGACAGTCACTGGCATTCACCACATGTTGGGACCCACCCAGCTGGTTTTAGAAGCTGTGACTTCCCAGGGTAAGGCTGAGTAAGAGATCTTGAGACCATAAGCCACTAAGGAGACAAAGCTTATCTTCTTGGCCGGGGGGGGGGGGGGGCTGCCTCTGCCTCCTTTTACTTCAGCCTCCTTGGCCCTGGGCAGATGACTGGTTAGTCAGTGCTGGGTAAGATTCCTCAAGGGAGGGATGACCTAAGACAGGCATGGTCATGAAGGGGCCCTCAGGGAAGGACTTGGGGGGCTATAGAAAAAGGGGGTAATGGACCCTCACCCCTTGGCTTCAACATAGCCTGAGTTCTCATTCTGTCTGCAAGAAATCTCCTAATCTCTTGGCTGCCTTACTTCCCCCACCTCATTTAAGCCTCAAACAATGCTGGGCAGGAACAGGTGTTTCCCCCCTGCCGGGGGAAATAAGGCCTAAGAAAAAATGCATAAAATCCTCTGAAAACTGCTTTGCTGAGAGGTCCTCAATTTTCTGACAAGGGTCCAAGCGTGAAATGAGTTTCTTTCCTAAAGTTTTATAGCACTTTAGCTAACTGACTGTAACTCAGTAGAAGCCTTCATACTTCTTTGAATGTTACCTATTGTTTGATCATTACTGCCTGACAATGATTGATGAGCTTTACCTATATTCCTGTGCAAACTGAACCCAGTAAAAACCAGTTGAGGAACAGGCTCCTGGCCCTTCTCCTTTGAGAGATCAGCCACCTTCCCTCCCCAGGCAGATCATGTCTTGTTAGACTTGCTCTCCTCAGTGGAGCCCTCCCACAACCATTCCCACACCACAGGGGTCCTCCTCCTCACCTCCTCCAGTCCCTGGAGCATTTAGTACCCCCTGCCTACTTCTCAAGGTCCCTCATCCAACACTTCCTGCAGAGGCCTCTGTCACATTTCATTGAGTATGTTGAACCTGCCACATCCCAAGTACCCAGAGGTGTCTCCTGAGATCCCTCAGGGTAGGACTGCTCACTCCTGAGCCATCCTGTCCCCTACAGTTGAAAAATGACAAGGTCAGGACAGTACTCTCTCAAGTCAGGGTGGACAAAACCCCAGTCAATGGGAAGAGAGGCCTGGGGCCTGATGGCCTTTGCAGGGACCAAGGCTCATCCCTGCCCAGAAGTATAACTCTCAGGAAGGAGGGGCCAGAGGGTGACATGACTCACCAGGGACTCCTTGGTCCACAGCTGGGTGGCTATCCTTCCAGTACCCATGGTGACCTGGGCACGGCAGTCTGTGTACAGGGAGAGAGGGGAAAAAGGAACAGTGAAAGATTAGGTGCATGTGTGACCCAAATTGCAGACATGACAGACATACCCACTGCAAGACAGGCAGACAAGGACAGCCACACACATTAATAGGGAATGCATGCAGGGTCCTATGGCATCCAAGGTCCTCAACCAACATCCCTGATTTAATCCTCCTGACACCCTGCATTGTTGGGGTTATTTTCACTCACCCCATTTCATAGATGAGGAAACTGAGGCCTCAAAAGGTAAGCCGTGTGCCCAAGAAGATAAGGGTGGGTTTAGGGTTGGGCTGAGTACATCAGGGTCCATATGCTTGGTGCACATGTCATACCCACACACATACTCTCCCCCAAGGCACACACCTGTGCACACACCCAATCCAATAGCCTGTAGAGAGGAAAAGGACCCTCTACCCTCTACCCTCTCACCCTGGGTCTGACTTAGCCAGCAGGAACAGTGGACCCAGGTCAGCTTATACCACTAGGAGCCCTTGAAATATCATAATTTATTCTGATAAGTTAAGATAAAATGCAAATCTAATCCAGCCTGGACTATTTTTGTGCCCACGGCAATGCAAACACTACTCCAAGTTTACCTTATTTAAACGAACGCCTCCTTTATTAAAAGGAGGCGAGGAAGACACAGTGGCCCTGGAAAATGCATGTGCACAGGGCTCATGACCACTGAACCCAGAGTGGCCCTAGATACGTGGCTGCAGAGCCAGGGGTGGCAGCTGCTCCTGCTCCTCCTTTTCTGTCCTAGGTTTCTGACATTTCCTGCCATTCAATGTTTCTTAGGGGAAACAAGATTTCCCCAGTGTGGGCTGTTTAGGGTGGTGGCTCTGGTACCTGCATGCCTGGGTGTGAAGTTGGGTGATTCACTTAAAAGACTCTGAACCTCAGTTTCCCCATCTGCAAAATAGGAATGTGAAGCTCCCTACTTAGAATCACTGGTAGGCCTGTATAATGCCCAGAATGATACCCCAAGCACCCAACACAAACTCCCTGAACAAACTCCACCCCCGCCCAGCACTGGGTAGGGTCTCTGAGCCTCTTTCTTGACCTCGCACCTGGCTTCCACACACATCCTGCCCTCCCAGGGTCGGGGGAAGCTCTGTGGAAGGAAATGGCTCTGGCTCCAGCAGGGAGGCAGATCTGCCAGGCCCTCCCATCCAGCAGGGCCGTCTTCTGCATGCGCTAGGTTGGGCACCCCAGACGCAAGCGCGCATACACACGTCAGCCATGCCCAGAGGCAGAGGCCCAGACGCACAAAGACGGGGAAAGGCTCGGACAGAACAGATGCACCCCTACACGCACACACACTCACATCAGAAACACAGACAGGCTCAGAGGAAGAGACCAGACACAGGGGAACACCTGGATGGCGCCCTCACAGGGAGACACCGCCGACTGAAACACAGGCTGACACGCACACAGATGTGGACACTGAGGGCCCCGGAGAGGCCAAGACAGGCAGCTGACACACATATGAGCAAAGGCAAAAAACTAGTTTCCCGAACACACGCGGTGTTACACAACGAGACACAAAGAGACCTCCCGGGAGTCTCACTTCAACATACAGACACACACCGAGTCACAGGCATCACCTGCAACCCCAAGACCACGCCCACGCCCAGATCCGTACCCAGTGTCCTCACGCCTCAGCCTGGTCCCCACAAAGAGCACACGGCTACCTCTAGAAAGTGACCGGCGACAGCTAGAACACAGATAGTACTGCGCTTGCGCGTTGGCCTGCTACACGTCCCATAACCCCGCGCGCGCATGCGCGCGCGCCGAAGTGACAGCCACACCTGGCTCCCTTCACACTGAGTGGCGCTGAGCGACCCGAGCCTGAGGGACAGTCCAGAGGCTCCTTGTTCCACAAGCCCCTGCTGCAGTAGAGCAAGAAGGCGAGTTTCCTGCAGGGATCTGGGGTGTCGGAGGGAAGACTGCTAAGCGGATCGGGGAGCGGAATGAAAAGTGTAGAGCAGGACAGGGCCTGGGAGAGGCTGGGTGTGGAGGGGTGGGTGGGAGGAAAGCGAGACAGCGGCAAGTAGCTGTACGCCAGAGGAACAGGGAGCTCAGCGTGCTGGAGAGCAGGGAGAAATTGAGGAATGTAGGGGCTTGGGTGGAGGCAGTAAAGGAAGCTGTAGCCCCTCTCTAGACCTCCTGGGTCCAGAGACCGATGCTGATAGTCCTGCTGATTTGCAGAAAATCTGTAGCCCTGCTGGCCTGCAAACTGAAGGGTCACTGCTTCGATTCCCATTCAGGGCACATGCCCAGGTTGTGGGTTGCAGGCTAGCTTCCTGGTGGGGGCAAGTGAAAGGCAACCACACATTGATGCTTCTCTCCCAGTCTTCCTCCCTTCCCCTGTCTCTAAAAATAAATAATTCAAAAAAACTTTGTAAAGCGTGCAGAGACGATGCCCCAGGACAAGAGAATGGACCTTTCTTATCCTGCCTTTACATCAGTATAGGAATGCCCTATAGGAACACCCAATAAACTTCCCAACTTCACCTTGTTGGGAGGGTGTGGTGTACCCACAACCAATTGCTTCTTCCTTCCACCACCTTCCTCCACCTCTTCAAACCAAGTCTTTGGATTGAGCTATTCAGTATTATAATGCAGGGTCTGAAAGACCTCTAGTTCAGTAATTCATTTAATGTTCTGAAGCTTTAGTTGATCAATTTGTCCTTTGAGCTTGGAGGAAAAGGCCCCAGGCAAGCAATATTGGACCTCTTCCCATGAATGCTGACTGGAGTTCTAGTTCAGGGGAGTAATATTCGCCCGCAGCTCCCAAGGTCCTTCTGGAGAGGAAACAAGCATACCCTCTTCCCCAAGTTAGTAAATCAACAGTTTCTTTGTGGTCATTGATGGAGGAAAAGCCACTCAATGATTTCAAATTTCTGAGGCTATAAATAATCCTGCTGAAGAAACATTTGTCTTTAAGACAGTAGTAAACTTGCTTTCATTCTTCCTGAGATGCTGCAGCAATTAAGATGTCGAGCATGTAATGATAAATAACACTTTGGGGAAATAAATTTCTTACTGGTTGAACAGCCTGATGGACAAAATGCTGACAAATGGTGGTGCTATTTAACATCCCTTGAGGTAAAATCTTGCAATGAAATCTCTCTAAAGGTTGTGAATTATTAAATACAAGGGCTGAAAAATCAAATCTCTCAGCATCCCTTTTAGCTAAGGGAATGGTAAAGAAATAGTCCTTTAAATCAGTAACAATGAGGGGCCAGTCTTTTGGTATGCATGCCGGGTTTGGGACTCCCAGTTGTAAAGCCCCCATGGATTGTAATATTTCATTCATCTTTCTGAGATCATGAACAAGTCCATTTTCCTGATTTCTCTGGGACTATAAAAATGGGAGTGTTCTACGGGCTGCTGGATGGCTCTGTGTGTCCTGTTTCCAGTTGCTGCTGTACAAGGTCCTGGCGCTTTTCTAGCCTCTCCCTCTTTAGCGGCTACAGGTCAATCCACACAGGCATGTCAGATAGCCATGTGAGGGTAGGGAAGAAGTCTGGACAGTGGCCATTAGGGAAAAAGCAGCAAGGAGACCTGAATCCCTCACTGAGGAGATCTCTGTCCCAATTATTAAGCAGAGTGGGAAGGACATAAGGCTGGATTCATCTGACTTGACTGTCCAGACCAAAACATTTGAGAGACCACATACTTTTCTGGGGTTGAGAAACACCCCCTATCCCAGTTATAGAAACATCTGTTTCCATTAATGGCCACTCTGGCAGCCAATATTGGCTAGAAATAACAGACACATCAGCTGCTGTGTCTAATAGACCATGGGATTGTATTTTATTTTTATCTTTAACACAGGCTTTTTTTAGATTCACAGAAGCTGTCCAGAATATGGACTGATTGTTAGTGCTGCCAAAGCCCTTATTTCCTCTAGTTACTTCTTGAGTAGTCAGCACCTCGTAAGGTATGAAGGGGAGCTGTGCAATGAGGGTCTGACCTGGAATAATACAATACCCTAGTGCCCTAAGCATAATTTTTATTTTTCCTTGATAGTCAGAATCAATAACTCCAGGTTGGACAAGGATGCCCTTACTGGTCATACTAGACTGTCCTAAAATTAGTCCTACTAGTCCTGGGGGCTTGGAACAGTGACTACCTCATCTTATTCCTTTAAGATGAGTTCCACAGTGGTGACCAGGTCCTGTCCTGCGCTCCCCCTAGTGGCTGCATGAAGATCTGAAACCTGACATTTTCCTGAGCCAGAAGAGCTGCTTGCTGTTGCTGGGGCTCCTGTGTGGATTGCTGCTCCTTGCTGCTCCTGGGGCACCAGAGCTCGTGCCCCTCCTCTTGTTTCCCTGCAGGGGAGGCAGTAATTTCCCATGCACATCATGGGTAGACCTGCATTGATTGGCCCAATGTTTGCCTTTACAGCAACGATGGCACTCCTTCACTGGGAATTTTTTTATTCTTACTCTGACGCTCTTTCCAAATGTGTCCTGCATTGCGGCAATTAAAGCATTTAATCTCGCCTTTTAAGAACGCAGCAAGTAACATCACCTTAGCCTTATGTTGCTCTGTTGCAACATTTTTGACAGGCTTTGATAAACTGACTTATGCGGCAGAAGTTGACCAAATGGGTTGAAGGACAGCCTTGCAATCACTGGCATTCTCAAAAGCTAGCTGTAACAGGAGGACATCTGCAACATCTTGATTTTCACTTTACTTTGAATTGCCTATTGTAATCTGTCAACAAAGTTTAAATAAGCCTTGTTGGCTTCTTTGTCTAATATTAATAAAGGACCCTGGGCTGTGTGGCTTGGCTTCAGTTACAGCCTTAAAGGCTCAGAGAGCCACTGCAGAACACTGGGGAAAAGTCTGAGGATCCATTAGTGCCTGCTGGTCTGGCCTAGTATAATGTCCTGATCCAACAGGCATGTCATGAGTGACTGGATTCCCTGTCCTAACATTTTCATCTGCCTGATGATGCCATCTTACCATATATTCAGAATGCCAGGCAGTAAACTGTTCAGGGCTTAAAGATAGTCTGGCCACCCAGTCACGTGGAGCTATTTGAAATGCTTCTGTTAATGCTGTTAACAAACCCACTGTGTAAGGGGATTGGAGCCTGTTTTCCTTTATACTTCTCTTTAAGTCTTTGAACATTTCATAAAGTAGAGGCTCATGTTGTGGATTTTGTCTGCCCTTCCAGGTGATGACAGGGAAGGCAGTAAAAGATTGCTAGTCCCCTCCCTGCCTGCATCTCTAAGACAGATACATGGCAGTAGTTACCGGCAGAGGGGCCTGAAAATTAATGATATCATGTTGACTCTTAAAACTGTCCTCCCATTTAGGAGCAGAGAGAGGAGATGAATGGGGTAAAAGTTCTCCCTTTTCTCTAGGGAGTGGACTTAAGTCCTGGATCAGAGACAACTGAAGTGGCCTCTCTTGCTTTCATATCATAAGGAATCTCCCCTGCCTTATTAATCTTTGTATCTGAGTCGAACATATGAATAGGCATCAGGACCATCCCCCAAATAAGATTTTGATGATCAATAGGTCCCAGTTTCCTGGTGCCTTTTCAACTTCTGCCCAACCTCTTCCTAAATAGCTAAGTCTAAAGATCCCTTATCAGGGAACCAGGGGCAGTATTCCTTAACAACGTGAAGCAAATTAATTAAATTCTGCCCTTTGACCTGACAACCCGAAGCCTTCGAGTTGCTGTATTTGCCTGAAATATTGCTCTTGTTCCTTAGACAGCCCATTTACTACGATCAAGGGACTTGTAAAAAACCTTTAAAATAATTACATAACCAATTATAAAAGGACCATTTCAGAAATTTCTCCCACTGCAAGCGTGGCAATTATGAACCTAGTCTGACTTTCGCCTTCACTCCATCTGCGCCCTCAGATCTTACTTCTTGCTAATGAGAATGTAGTGGGGCAATAGTGTGCTGCTTGTGAGAGCTCCCAAGGCTGTTATGGCCATCCTTGACTCTCTTATGTGCCTCGGTTTCTCTCCTGGTTCTCTGAAACAGCCAGGGGGGCTAAGAGTAATGGCTGAACAAATCTCATGTGCATTTCTCTGGATGAGCCGAAATTGAATCACCATGACTGGACTTCCCTATGAGGCCCCGGCATGTCTTAGGGATTGACCCCAGTCACCTCCACAAGGTCCCCACTCATGTAGGGAAGCATGAGAATTCAAGCTGGCCTCTTTTCTTTGGCATTCAGCAAGAGACACTCATAAAGAACCCTGTAACTAGTTACTGTTTTTAAAACTGGACAAAATTAAAGTCTTTGCTTTCTCCCAAGCCTAAACCTAGGTAGGGATTGTGCCATAGGGATGGGCTTGTGAGTGTTCTTACAGTGTGCCTCTTGTAGCGTGGACATTTGCTTGCAGCTGGTGGGAAACCTAGTGTTCTGTCCAGGTCCACGTTTCCAGATTATCCTTTCATGGGTGTCCTCTAGCAGCGAGCACCATAGTGGCTTTTAACTGCTTGACCTGTGCTCATGAGGTGCAGCAAATGCTTGATAGAGAGCAAGACTGCCCCTCACTGAAAAGGGTGTAGAGAACAGAAATGAAAAGAAAACAGCTTAAGGGGCGGCAAGAGATAAACTTTTCCTCTGGAACACACCTGACCGCCTTACCAAACACCAATCTGGTACTGCTGTCACTCTGGGGATGATTAGCGCTGACTCCCGCCTTCTTAGGTGTGAATGGCTATGAATGGCTCCACTATGAATGGCTCGTAGCCTGTCCCTGTTCAGGTACTAGATAAGGGGGGCTCTGCCCACAGAGCTCCAACCACACAGATGAGAATAAATCTACCAAGACTTGATCTCTTGGGGAGGCAAGGTGAACAATCTCTCACAAGAGAAGCATACTGGACATTTCCTTATCTGCATTTTTATTGAGTTCAGCTCACACGGAGATACATAGTATGCACATAAAGTTCATCCACCAATGTTAAAAAAGCTAGTCATAAGAAACTGACATCACTTAGATATAATCCTTGAATACAGGAATAGTCTCTGGTGAGGGTTGGTTTTAGCTCATGTTTTATAGCCAACAGGGCAAAGCAAGCCTAAATAGAAACAATGTATCTTCTTTCTCAGGCCAGATTCCCTGCACACCACCCCTCCTCCCAGGGTGGTCTAAGTCAGTCAGGGAGAGCAAAGCAGCCAAGATACTAGGAGACATTTACAGAAAGACTGAGGACTCAGGCTATGACAAAGCCAAGAAGTGAGGATCTTTCTGCCCCTTGTCTGTAGACCCCTAAGTCCTTCACTGATGACCTCTTGCCACTGTGCCTGTCTTCGGTTGCCCCTCCCCTTCTGAGGGGTCTTACAGGTCATTTGCTAATTGGCTATGGGCAGAGGCCACAGGGAGAAGGGAGGGAGATAGGGGCCGTGCTCCTGCCAGGAGGAAATATTCTCTTTACTGGCTCATGTCCACAACTCCTTTTCACTCAGCCCTAGCCCTGGGACCTTTTTGTCTGTTACTGAGGCAACAGTTCCTGAAACCAAGCAGAACAGCACCCAACAACCTGTATGTGTACCTTTTGCATGACTGTTTAAAATGCCATTGGTTTCCCTTAAGTTTTATTTTAAAACTATTAACACACCACTATGAGAAACTATGTCTCCTGATGCGATTATTTAGTTCCCATGCTGAAATTTTTTTTCCTTCCCCTCATAAAACATATGGCACCTTCTAGTGTTGCAGAAAACCTGGGGGCTGGGAATGGAGCAAACAAGGATACCCACGGATGTGACCACCTGACCTCTAGACAAGATCCAGGCATGTCATGTATCACAAAGTGACGATGCCCCCATGGAGCCCATCTCCACATCTTCCCTTCTTTCTCTCCTCCACTTTACTATCCAGGAGACGGAGACCAGAGACATTAAATGTTTTATCCAAGCTTCTACAACAGTTTATTGGATCTCGGTCTGGAGCCACAGCCCCCTGGCTACATTTCCAGAGACTAGACCTGAATGGTGCTTACTTTGCACCTGGCCCTGCGGATGCTGGCGAAGAATATGATAATGACTTAATGTGCCCGCAACAGCCATATTTCTAAGACAGGTCTGATCAGGACTTCTCTTGCATCCCACCTGTGGGCTCCAATATTAAGTCTAGCACCCATGGTCTCAGCACCTACCAGTCAGGTATGGATTCTAAAATCCCCCAATTCCCTGCTATGTGTCACGTGAGGTAGAAATTCCTGCTGAAGGTTTTCCTGCACTTGCCACTCTGGTAGGTCTTGTCTCCCACAGAAACCACTTGGTGGGTGGGGAGCAAAATGTTCCTGATAAAGGTTTTGCCACAATTCTCCAAGGTGGGGCTAGTCAGATGATTCTGTAAGGATAAGCATGTCATGAAGTCCTTCTGGCAGATGGAGCACTGGCAGGGGGCTCCCCAGTGGGTACTGGTCTGTGCTTCCTGAATGAGAAGTTCTTGCTCAAGTCTGTACTAGCCTAAAATGTATGCATTCTCCTTCGGGTGCATTGGCTCCCACCTCCCCCTTTTTTAGGTTTTTAAAATTTTTATTTTTTAAAGAGAGAGGGAGAGAAACATCAGTATGTGGTTGCTTCTCAAGTGCTCCCTATTGGGGACTTGGCCTACACCCAGACATGTGCCCTGCCTGGGAATTGAACCAGAGACCCTTTGATTCACAGTCCAGCACTCAATCCATAAAGCCACACCAGCCAGGGATGAAATCTGCATTCTTTGATGCTCAGTGAGGTTCCTATTCTGCTGAAGGCCTTCCCACAATCCCTGCATATGTTCAGCTCCTACCTAGTGTGCATCTAGTGATGCTTGATGAGGCACCTATTCTCTCTGAAGGCCTGGCTGGAGTCCTTGCCCACACATGGCATCTGTCCAATGTGTGTCCTCTGAAGCTCAATGAGGCTCTTGTTCACTCTGAAGGACAAGCTAGGCTGAGTCCACACACGCCTATGGCTTCTCCTCTCTGTGTGTCCTTTGATGTACAACCAGGCTGGATTTCTAGCTGAAGGCCTTGCCACTACTGCACACTTAAGGCTTTGCCCCCGTGTGCATCATCTGATGCACACTGAAACTCCATTAGACGTGGAAGCCATACACTTCCCCCACATGTATGGCTTCTCTTGGCTGTGTCTCCTGGGGTGATCAATGAGGTGTCCATACTTTCTGAAGGCCTTCCCAGTCTTCACAGACTACGGCTTCTCCCCAGTGTGTGTGTTCTGATGCTTCATGCGGCGCCTATTTTCTCTGAAGGCCTTCCCACAGTACTCACACACGTATGGCTTCTCCCCAGTGTGTGTCCTTGAATGCACACGGAGACTGGATTTCTGGCTAAAGGCCTTGCCACACTCCTCACATATGAATGGCTTCTCCCCCGTGTGCATCCTCTCATGCACAAGCAGGCTGCATTTCTGGCTGAAGGCCTTGCCACAGTAACTGCACCCATATGGCTTCTCCCCAGTGTGCGTTCTCTGGTGTAGGAAGATGTTACCCTTATGCCTGAAGGCCTTGCCACAGTAACCGCAAACATACGGCTTCTCTCCAGTGTGTGTCCTCCGATGCACAAGGAAGTCAGACCTCTGGCTGAATGCTTTGCCGCAGTCCATGCACAAGTGCAGATTCTCCCCGGTGTGCATCCTCTGATGTTCCACAAGGCGCCGATTCTGTCTGAAGGCCTGGCCGCACTCCACACACACATAAGGTTTCTCCCCTGTGTGCATTCTCTCATGGACAATGAGACTCCGTTTGTAGATGAAAGCTTTGCCACAGTCCCTGCAGGAGTGCAGCTTCTCCCCAGTATGTATCCTCTGATGCTGGACGAGGTGCCTATTGTCTCTGTAGGCCTTGCCGCAATCCCCACACAAGTAAGGCTTCTCCCCAGTGTGCGTCCTCTGATGCACATCGAGGGTTGATTTCCGGCTGAAGGCTTTTCCGCAGTCCCCACACACGTATGGCAGCTCCCCGGTGTGCGTTCTCTGGTGTAGGGTGATATTACTCTTCTGCCTGAAGGACTTGCCACAGTCTCCGCACACGTAAGGTTTCTCCCCGGTGTGCGTCCTCCGGTGTAGGGTGATCTTATCCTTTCGGCTGAAGGCCTTACCACAGTCCCCACACACGTATGGCTTCTCCAAGGAATGGGTTCGTTGGTGCTTCCTCAGGGATGATTTTGAGCTTAAAGTCTTGCTACAGTGTCTGCACTTATATGTCTTCTTCTCTGCACAAAGTTGGGAGGGAGGACTGGGGCTTGAAGTACCTGAATTCTTCCCATACATGCTTAAACAGTGCATCCCTGGTCCTCTCGGTCCTTCCAATCTTGGTGGGGCCAGCATGTGGTCCTGATGGATGAATGCCTTAAATTCACAACACTCAGGGGTTAACACTTGGGATGTGTCCAAAGGCCATAGACATGTCCCTGTACTTCTGTGTTGCTTCCCCACCCTGTCACCCTGTATTCCCGCTTTTTCACAGGAGTAACCCCGGGCTCCATTCTTCATGAGTCCTCCTACCACCATTGCAATGGATGGTCTGTCTTCCCAAGACTCCTCTGGGTCTGGTTTGTTCATGTTCTGTTCAGTCTCCAAGCCTGAGGGAAGGCGGAAAGAGATGAGGACACACATGTAGTTAACCACATTGGGAGGGAGGATCTTCCCAAGACATGACAAGGCACATCTTGACAGCATAGGACAGCCTGTAGTGGGTACACAGGAAGTAGGGAAGCCGTGATGTGAGACAGTAAGTTGTAAGGATGTGAAAACAGAGCAAAAAAGGCCTGATTAGGAGTGAATGCAAATGTGGCCTACATAGCTCAGACCTGGGAAGAACTACTGAGAAGAGAACAAGGAAAAAAAACAAGACTTGGAGGAGCACATCAAAGGATCTCACACACCCGGGGTTGGTTCACTGCACCTGGCTCCTTGCTTCCAAGCCTCCTTGTGCACATCCCCAGACAGCTGTGCTTCTCAAAGCATTGCCTGCTATTACTAATGATAAAATAAGAGCTGATTCTCATGTGGTTGTGCTGAATGTCCTCTGCCTTCCCACATGCCAGTGAAGCTCCCACGTGTCCACACTGCCCATGAGTGGTCTGGTTCTTGGGCTGGTTCCTCACCCCTCCACTTAGTACACTAATCCTTCCCTGCAAACCACACTGGCTCCCAGGCTCTTATGCCTTGTCCCATTGATTCTTCAATCTCTGTTTCCAGACAAGGTGGCTGTCATGAGATCCAGACTTTGCATATGCACTTTAATGTTCATCCAACACTTAAAAATTGTGAGATCTTACACGTAAATCTCATTGGAAAAGGGAAGATCCTCCCACATGTAGCCCTCCTTCCTAGGAGGTAACAAAGAAAGCAGGAATGGTAAGCAGCTGTCTCCCTACCCACATTAATGCCCTCACTGGCCACACAAAACCTGAGATTCAGACCCTTCCCTCGAGTCTACAACTGGAAACAATCCTAATGTTCATCATCAAGTGAAAGGATAAACACAGGGTGAGCTATCCCAGAAGTAGAATATGACTCTGCAATAAAAAGAAGTCAGCTATTGCCCTGGAGGATGCCCAGCTCAGCTGGTTAGCGAGTCATCAAGGCCACCAAAACTGCAGGTGGATCCAAGTTCAGGGCTTGTACAGGAAGGAATGGACTGAATTTGTCACATACTCTCCTTTTATGTTGCAAATCAATAAAAAAATAAGAAAGGAAAAAAATGAAGGGCATGATTCATCCATACAGTTGACGCTGAGTGAACCTGAGAGAAATAATGTCAGTGTAAGAAATGAGATAAAAAATAAACAAAATGTGGCATATGATTTCATATATATAATATTGTAGAATAGGCAAACTATGCAACAGTAGTTGCTGAAGGATGGGGTGTGGGCAAAAAGAAAGAAAAGCTTTTGGGACTAATGAATGTATCTGCATCACAATGTTGATTTCTGGTTGGATACAAATGTCAAAATGCATCAAACCATTCGTTTTTATTCTGTGCAGTTAACAGTAGGTCATGAAACCACCAGAAAATGTGTTAAATAATGGGACTACACACTAAGAACTTGGACCCAAACAGGATCACACCAAAACACATCATAATTAAAATGCCAAAGGTTAAAGATACAGAGATTCTTAAAGAAAGAAAAAAGCAGAGAATTAACTTATAAAGGAGTTCTCATTCGACTGTGAGCTGATTTCTTACAAGACACTTTACAGGTAAGAAGGGACTGACAAGAAGTATTCAAAGTGATGAAAAGTAAGGTCTTACAACCTTCTTTACTCTAGCCATCAAAGCTATCATTTAGAATCAAATTGCAGAGAAACTGCTTCCAGACAAGGTAAAGGTAAAGGAGTTCACCACCACCAACCCATTATTACGTGAAATGTGAAAAGGACTTTTTTAAGAAGAAGATCAGTCCTGGCTGGTGTGGATCAGTGGATTAAGAGCCAGACTATTAACCAAAGGTTCAATTCCCAGTCAAGGAACACTTCTGGGGTGCAGGTCAGGCCTCCAGTAGGGGTTGTGTGAGAGGCAACCACAAAGTAATGTTTCTCTCCTCCTCTCCTCCCCCCTTTCTCTAAAAAATGAATGAATGAATGAATGAATGAATGAAAGAAAAAAAGAAACCTCTGAACATTAATATGAAACACATTCACAACTATCAACTGAATCTAAAAACCAAACTAAGCAAACAACAAGAGAAACTGAGTCATAGATAAGGGGATGTTGGAGGGTTATCAGCTGGGAGTAGGAGGGGAAGGGAAGGAGGGGGATATAGCAGAAAAGGTATAGGGGTTAAGCAGCGTAAATTGGTAGGTACAGAATACACAGGGGGATATTAACAATAGTATAGGAAATAGAGAAGCTAAAAAACTTACATGTATGACCCTTGGAAATGAACTAAGGGGGTTGGGGGTTGCTGGAGGGAAGGGGGCTGACAAGTAGAGGAAGACAAAGGGAAAACATTGGGACAAGTATTAGAGCATAACCAATAAAATATACTTAAAAAAAGACATGTAAAATTGCAACTTATGTCATCCTATTAACTGTCACCACAAAAAAATTAACTTAAAAAAAATGTGATGTTAGCCCCTTTTTACGGCATTCAAAATAATTAACTCAAACTGGGAAAAAGACGTAAAGAAAGACAAAATTCTAAAAGTTGTAGGCAAAACAGGAGTAAATCTTTGTGGTCTTTGGTCCTTCAGATATGACACCAAAAGCACAAGGAATAACAAAGTGAATAAATCGGACCCCATCTACACTGAAAACAAGTGTGTTCCAAATGATGCCACTGAGAAACAGAAAAAGAGTACCCAGAGGATGGGAAAAGGAGTTGCAAAGCACATATCTCAAAAAGGTCTTGGAGCAAAAATTAACATGAAAATACGTAAGGAAATGTTAAGGTTGAATGATGAGGAAGCAAACAACCCAAGTTAAAAAAAAGTCAAAACACCTGAAACAGACACTTCACCAAAGAGAATATACCGATGGGAAATAAGAACCTGCAAAGGTTCTCAGAACCACCTGGAAGCTAGATTGTGGTAAGACTGCACACCCACGAGAATGGCTGCCATGAAAGAGACTGAGCATGTTCAGTTCTGACAAGCACACAGAGCAATGCAACACCTAGCACTTGCTAGTGGGAATGAAAAGTGAAACAACTGCTTTGGGGAAAAATTTGGCAGTTTCTGAAAAAGTTAAATATATACCTATATATAACTCAGCCTTTCCAAAGAGAAAGGACATCACGTCTCTACAGAAAGACATCCAGCCCTGGCTGGTGTAGCTCAGTGGATTGATCATCGTCCTGTGAATCAAAGGCTCATTGTATCAATTCCCATTCAGAGCACATGCCAGGTTTGTGGGGCAGGTCCCTCATTGGGGTCCATGTGAGAGGCAACCACACATTGATGTTTCTCTCCCTTTCTTTCTCCTTCCCTCCCCCTCTCAAAAAATAAGTAAGTAAAATTAAAAAGACAAGATATCCAGATGTGGAAACAATCCAGATGTTTGTCACCAAGTGAATGGATAAACACAAGGTGTTCTATCCATGAAGTAAAATATTACTCAGCAATACCAAAGAGTGAGCTTTGCCCTGGTTAGATGCTCAGGTGGCTAAAGTGTCACCACAAGCACCAAATGGCTACCATTTCGATCCCTAATATGAAACTGTATAGAAGGCAACTGATTGAAATATCTGTCTCTCTTTCAAATCAATGAAAATATCCTTGGGTGATGCCTTAAAATATATATATATAGAAAAAAGGGGGGGATCTGACTGGTGTAGATCAGTGGACTGAGTACAGGCTGTGAACCATAGAGTTGCCAGTTTGATTCCCAGTCGGAGTACATGCCTGGGTTGCAGGCCAAGTCCCCAGTTGTGACCATGTGAGAAGCAACCACACATTGATGTTTCTCTCCCTCTCTTTCTCTCTCTATAAATAAATAAATAAAATCTTTAAAAAAAAAAAGACTTCCTGCAATATGATTCCATAGATACAAAATTCTAGAACAGAAAAACTATTACCACAGTTGTATGGGATGGAAGGTGGGCAAAAGGAAAGATAAACTATTTGGGCTAATGGACATGTCTGCATCTGTCCACCTTTTTCATTTCTGTGTCATCCTGAGGTGACAGGCACATGGTGAGTAACACTGCAAGGCTGTCCCCTTACCTAGCGAGATCAAGTTCCAGTAGACCTCCATCATCACATCCCTGTACAGGTCCTTCTGCTCAGGCTTCAGCTGCTGCCACTCCTCCTGGGTGAAGTCCACAATCACATCCCTGAACGCCACTGACCCCTGTAAGAGGAAGCACACACAACTCATTGCAGGGCCCTCCTCACAGTGTTCAAGATAAGTGACCAGAAGGGCTGAGAGGATCAGGAAGGCACACGGGATGCATCTGACTGATGTCAACAAGGTGCAGAGCTCTGAAGAGCCCGACCACTCAGTGTCCTTGGTGCCTAAGTACACTGGATGGTCCTTGGACAGGCAACTAAATAAACTATGGGGCTGTTCAGAGGAAGGCAAACAACACAATTCAAAAATGAGC